GGGTGCCTGCATGGTTGGGTTCTGGTGAGGGCCCTCTTCCAGGTTGCAGACTGCTAACTGCCCACTTCTCACTATGTGCTCACATGGCAGAAGGGGTGCAGGAGCTGTATGGCGACCCTCTCACAAGTGCACTAATTCCATTCCTGAAGGCTCTGCTCTCATGATCTACTGTCATGCCAAAGGCTCCACCTTCCAATACCATCACCTTGAGGATTAGGATTTCAATATAGTAATTCTGGGAGACACAACACTCAGACCAAGTAAACAGCCAAGGGGCATGTGGTGCTATTGACAAACAGGAATGTGTGTATTCCTATAAATTCATAGATGTGTACAATTAATAAGGGTGAATCTTACGGTCTATAAATATGACTTTTGATATATATATGTATATTATATCTATATATATACATACATATGTATATATATGTATATTATATGTGTGTGTATATACATATGTATATATGTATATATGTATGTATATATGTATACACATACATATAATTTGAAAAGTCTGAGTAGAATAAATAAAAAGAAACCAGAAGCATGAATTTTAAAAGCAGCCAGAAGTGAAAAAGACAAATTACCTTCAAAAGAGCAGCAATTAAAGTTCAAAAACAATGAAATAACATTTAACATGCTCAAATAAAATAACTTCCAATCTAGAATTTTATAAGCAATAAATTTTAAAAACCTCCTGTAAGAATGAAGGAGAGTTAAAATATTTGTACAAAAATAAAAATAAAAACTGAAAGATTTAAACATGGCCAGACCCAGAATGCTCAGAAATTCAGGAAAGAATAAACAACAATTTTTAAAAGTTAGTGAAGTTAGGAGAGGGTAAAAAAATATGTTTAATATTATACATTGATAAATCAAACCAGCAGGTTATAATTTCAAAGGTAATCACTGAAAGAATAGTAGTGGGGTGTATGATTCCCAAACTAAGAGAAAGAGTAAAATAGAATAATAAAAAGTCAATCAACCCAAAAGATGGCAAAAAAGAAGTAAAATAGGAATATCTGAAAGCTAAGATAAATAGAAAGGTCTTAGATGGTAGATATAAAAGCATATATGAAAACAGTTAAACTGAATTGAATACCATTAAATTTTAAAAGACTCAATTAGCATAAGTTTACATTAAAGATAAATTGATTAATACAACATTTTAAAGCCTAAGATTTCTAAGGAACATGTAAAACATGATGATACTGATAGTTTAAATATAAAAAGATAGCAAAAGAAAAGATACCATTCAAATATCTAAAAACAGCAATTCTCATTTACTTGAAAAGTAAAACTTTCATTTCTATTACACATACACACACAAAAACTTTTTTACTAATGACACTAAAAATATAACAGAATTTGTGGGATGCTGCCAAAGTCTTAATCAATGGAAATTTTCAGCTTTATACATATTATTGCAAACAAAGAAAAGCTGAAAATCAGTGTTAAAAATGTTGTTAGAAACAGAACCACAAATTAAACATCAAGAAAATGGAAGGAAAGTTGTAAAAAAGATAAGAACATAAGTTATTGAAGTATAAAACAAATGACAAAGGTAAAAGCTGGTTTTATTTGAAAAAAAATCTTTGAAACATTTAACAAATTGATAAATTATTTTACAAAGGCAATAGAAAAATAAAGTAAATAACCAATACTATGGGTAAAGAAGAAGATCTACCACAGATCTTGCAGAAATTAAAATATAAAAAGAATATATTATGAACAGATGTATACTAAAATCAATTTGTAAATTTAGATGAATAGTCATATTTCTCAAAAGAAATATACAACTAACCAAAATGGAGAAAAAAAATATAGGAAAGCTAAATAGTAACATAAATATTAAATTAATTGAATATCTAATTGAATACTTTTCTACAAGAAAAGCTCTAGGCCCAAATGATCTTTTTTATAAGTTTTTCCCAAATTCTAAGAATAAAAAATGCTAGTGTTACACAAACTCTTCCAGAGAAGAATAAGGAAAAAAAAATTCTCCCAGCTTGCATAAATAGCACTTAATTCATGACAAACTTTGTATTGTAGGGCACTGGAGAAAAGATAATCAATTACTATCCACATGAAGAAAAAAAAATGAAATTTGACCCCTATCTCACTCTATACAAACAAAACAATTCCTGGTAGATTATAGATCTAAATATCTAACACAGAATAATAAAATTTATAGAAGAAAATATAGGACAATATCTTTTTTTTAACCTCAGAGATGTGAAAAGAAAGAATTTTTTGGTTATTGTTGCTCAGGTACAATCATTTTATTATATGCTTTTTGATATAATCAAAATATGTAATTATTATTATCATTTGTCTAAGATTTATAATTTTTCATCTTCTTTAAATATAATTGATAGCCAGAAAATTGTCAACCCTACTAGGAAGGATTTCTTAAATTGCACAGAAAAGAGTACAAACAGTAAAGAGGGAAAAATTTTAAAAATAAAAAAATAACTTAAAAAAAATAGAGAGAGAGAATGGGAGATAAAATATTTTCAACATTTTTAAGCAACAAAGGGTCATATTCAGTTTACTTAAATTAAAAACAAACCAAAAAGGACAACTGAATAGAAAATAGGACAGGATACATGAACAAGCGCTTAAATACTCATTTTTAATAGAGTCTAACCTCACTAGCAATTAGAGAAATGCAAATTAAAATCACAAGGTAACACTACTTTTTCTAATACACCCTGTAGAATTAAAGAACTGAATAGCAAGGATGAGGGCCTCTGAGAAGGGATTACCATAAAGTCGGGACAGTGATTTACTTCATTTGGAGGAGAAAGAGCCAACAGTGATTTAGAAAGAGAATGATGGAGGCCTCTGTGTAGCCGACAATTTCTATTCCTTGACTTCTGTTGTAGTTATAGTTCCACAGTTTAAAAATATTGAGTGAGAGAGAGGAAGAGAGGAAGGGAGATTTCAGAATGGGTGTTAGTTATCCAGGACTGTGGAACTTAATGGCCCTCAGAGAATCGCTGTCCTATCTCTTGCTGTCCTCAGGATCAGCGCTGGGAAGGTGGGCGCTTTCAGCTGAGAATATTGCTGACCCAAAGACGTTCATTGCTGATTCTCCAAGGAGGAAGGGGAGAATGGATATAGAATAAAAACTAGCCAGGGAATTTTAATCATGAGTAGCACTTTGGGAGTCATTGATGGTAGTAATTAGATGGGACAGGTTTGTTTAAGCTTAACATTAAGGTCTCCAGAATGATATGGGAATGTTCTGTTGGCTAAGAAAAAAATTGACTTAATGATTTGCATTCATGTGTGTGCACGCACACACACACACACACACACACATGCACACAGAGAAGAAACCCCAAAAGTGTTTATGAATCTTACCCCTCCATATGAAGCAGGGGTTACATATAATGATTAGAAGTATTTGGCTCACAAGAAGGAGGCTTTCTGGTGTTTTGGGGAGGTGGGGACAATGACTTCTATAAAATACAAAAGATTTTTAGACTAGCAGTAAAGACGTCTAGCAAAAAGATCTATAGTTATCAAAAATTTATTACCACTAAGAACAGACAGAAGTTCAGCAAATAATGATATAAGCTCCCCAAGTATTGGCCTTTCTTAATGTATTCTTTTCAATGACTTCAGAAGCTTTCTTAAAATATATATCATTATGCATATGGCACTTATAATTGTATACAAGTTATAAAAATTACACAAGATCTATTTGACAGTTTGGAAAATACAGAAAAGAATAAAGACTAAAAACTACCATAATTCCATTACCTAGAAATATTCTAAATATGTCTGATATTCCACTGTGTCAAATTTTATTTTTTCATACAAACATATGTACATGTCTACATAATATATTTGGCTTTGTTTTTATAAAGTTTGAGTTATATACTATACATACAGTTTTAATAATCTGCTTTTTTCCCCTTAGGAAATCATATAATTTATCTCTATGTCAACAAATATAGATCTGCATTGTTTATAGGTAGCTATGGTATTGGATGCATAGCATTCCATCATATAGGACTATTATGAGTTAAAATAACCAAGTACTATTTGTTGGATATTAAAATTATCTTTCTATTTTCCACCCTTAAAATAGCACTGGGAGCTTATGATGTATTACTCCAACTTGATTAAAATAGGTATTTTGTAAAACTTTCCATGTTAATGTGTAATGTTCAGATTTGTGTTTAGATAGAAATATTGAGAATTAATCTTTTCAAAAATCAATTACTTTCTAAAATCTCTGATAATTCTCTTTGAGGAGGTAAATTAAATAAAAACATTGTATGCCCTTATATTCAAATTGAATATTCTTAAAATAATAAAAATGGAATATAAGTAACAACAATAGGCATCAAGTGTGTGATAGAAGAGTATTTCACAAAGGTTGCATATATCTAGCAAGAAGGTAATTCATTTTTCTTTTACTTGCAATTTTGAGATATTTAAGACTAGCCACTAAACAAAAGAGAATTTAAAATATATTGAATGATCTAAACTGAATATACAAACATTTGAGAAAGATCCATCACTTTTGCTAAAATTTCACTTCATGCCTTCTCCCTAGCTCACCTTCGATGATGCATATCCTACTGTAAAAAAAGGGAAAGCTTCCTTTCACTAAAATATTTAATTTGTGTTTTTATTCAAAAGACAAAAACTATGGCTTGGGAAATAGTCCTAGCAAACAGTACAAATAACTGATTCTTATTCCAAAAATCAAAATAAAACCAAAAACCAACAGAACAACAAAAAAAATCTCTAGATCAAAATGGAAATTTTTGTGGAATACATGCCTTGAAATTATTTCCCTGAAAATAATATAAATTACATCTCTAGGAATTCAGACTCCTAAACCTAACATAATATACTTCCAAACCCTAAAGCACAGATTTATGTATTGTTCCTTAAGTGCTTACAGGGACAAGATTTTAAATAAAGCGAGTTCTGTCTTGTCATTAAAGACCACTTGAAAATCTCAAAAGTTATACGTACAAAAGGAAAATTATTTCAGTTGGGTTTTTAGTCTTATAAAACCACTTTCTATGTTTGATCTACTTTGTAAACACCATGAACTTCTGGGTTTCTAAAACTTTCCTATGATTAAAATATCCAGCACAATGCCCTGGATAGTTAGGCACTCAGTAAGCATTTACCGATTAAAAACAATGTTACATCTTACAGTGAACCAGTAAGTCTTATGCAGGGGGCAGAGTCAGAAAATGTCTTCTAGTCAGTATGATAAAAATTGAATAAATATAACACATGTGCAACACATGATATATATATGTGTGTGTGTGTGCATATATATATATACACACATTATAATTCTTAAAGCAGTTATTAGTACTGATTCATAATTTACAACATGCACTGTGCTTTCTAAATACAGGCACAAGATGGAAATAAATGTTTAAAATAACTTGAAGTTCTAATTGAATCAGAAATAGTGTTATTTTCTAGGAAACGATTTCTCTCTTGAATGCCAGTATCTGCATGTTACCTCTGCTTCCCAGAAATAATTATCTGTGTTGTTCATTTGCTGAAATATAGTTATGTGTGGGTAATTATAGCTATCACTTACTTTAATTGCCATCCTTTTACTGATGTGAACACAGACTTAGATCTTTTGTATATACTTAATTATTCCCTGGACTTGTGGTTATTTATCATTAGATTAGAGAACAGTTTTTAGTGTTAGAACGTTTTCGTTATATCAAACTAAATATTGTGAATATAAAGATATTT